CAAATGAACAAGTAGGTCAAGGTGAGTGAGTATGGTTTTATTCCAGCAATATCACGGCGGGGGACACCACAAATAGGCTTCACACATTGTACCCATGTGGGGAATCGAACCCGGGTTTTCGGCGTGACGAGCAGACGCTTTAACCACTAGGATACCCCACCGCCACAGGTCAAGGTGAACATAATGATTTGCTTTTTGAGACTAGATATTAGATGGTGTTCATATAGGCAGATATATACATAAAGTCAAATTTCTGATTAATAAGCTAGTGTGAATAAAGGTTCGACCGTTCCTGGCTGAGTTCCTGCTTTTCTTCTCATTGTCATCAACACAACGTCCTAACATCAAGTTTATGGAGGCAGATGACTCAGGTCAGATTACGCAATGAAGGCAATTAGAAAGTGTTAAATACCTACGTGAACAACATGTTAATACATGTTTGTTTTTGTTCGTTGATGATCAATATTCCAGCTATATGGCGGCGTTCTGTAAATAATCGGGACCAGACAATCTAGTGATCATCGATCTACGCACTTGGGATACGATGACACGTGTCAACGCAGAGAGCAACCTGTCCATCCGATCCCGTTAGTCGCCTCTAACTGTGTATTGATAACAGCCTTTATTGTATTAGTCTTTGACCTAATAAAATCTTGTCTTGGTAACGCTTTATTTTTTAAAAACGAATTTATTTTAGCATATCTAAATCCTCGACGAGTCGTTTAATGGTTTGGTCATTGTCATTGGTCATTCAATTCTAAATTTCGTGAAAAGTAGAAAACTGTTTAATATGAGAGGGGTTTCTTTTTCTGACAGAAGGTTTGCTCGTTTGTTTGATTGACGCCACACTCAGCAATACCCCAGCTATGTGGCTGCGGTCTGTAAATAATAGAGTTAAGGTCATGAGCATCGATCTCCGCAGTTGGGAACCGATGGCATGTACCAAACAAGTCAGCGAGCCTGACCACCCGATCCCGTTAGTCGCCTCTTTCGATTAGCATGTCTTACAGAAGACCGATTTTAACTCGGATCTTCACGGGTATAGTTGACAGAAGGGATGTCAGATGAATGATTATATAATCTTAACCATTCGAAATTTTCACAGAAATCATCAATAAAACAATGGATATATATGGAATGTTTCTGTATAAATTCACTTAAGTAGACTCACGGATGTGGTTTGTGGCATCTATATAACAGAGCAGACACAGCAAGTGAAACCATTGCTACAAACTGAAGGATATTTAACCTATTTAATTTGTAAAATTCTTTTCATACATTTAATGTAAATTTATGTCGCAGTTTCAGAGACGTTTAATTTGAACTCTCTTTGTACAAGATGTATGTCTGGAGGAGTAGGTAATGAATATATGTAATAATATATTTATTACATGTCTTACATATATGTGAAAAGTATACATTTCGGTTGTTAATTTCTCTTCTTGTGGCAGGGGAGTTAACGGTAATGTACAAAAATCTTAAAACATTATTCAAATCTAACATGTAAGCCACCTGACAATCTTTAAACTACAGTCTGCATTTTACTGCGAGTTTGATTGCCTACGTGTATATTTCTGAACAAAATGTGTCTTTATTTCACATCGTGTATGCCCATGACTTGAGTCAGATTAATCTCTTTGTCGGCCATTTCAAACAGTAGGTATACTAGAGTTACCTCCCTTGTCTAGAAGTGGAATTTTGTCACGTACTGCGTCACTTAGCCAAATCAAACAAGAAAAGATAAGGAACGAAAAACCTCGTTCGGCGAACGAAAAAAAGATTTGTACTGAGGTTTTGTCATACTTCCAGTTGATACAGGATTTAAGAGAGCGGCGATTGCCACGATCAGGGTGTCTTTAATTAGGTATAAAGTAATACAAGGCAACATGGTAAAGGTTCACAGTTAACATTAGTAGCAGTTAAATGTAACTACATACCGTAGATCTATGATTTCCGATTAATACGGCAAAGGATCGTTGATTAACAAGCTGATGTTTCATGACAGTTTGATTAGAATTACGATATCGGCCTTGTCCTTCGAAATGAAAAAATGGCAGTCACACCTTGCTCGTACCTTCGCTAGGAAAAAACAACTCTGTAATTAGTCAGGTTGTCCTTGTATTTGTTTGTTTGGCGAGTAGTGTAGAGTAGTGTTTCCAGCAGAAGAAGGATACCATTTTATAGATGTTGGCAGCAAACGTTCGCGGTAGCCTCACGACCATACTGTCCCTTTCTCAACCATACAAAATAACACTCGGATCATTGTAACAAAATACAATAACAACGTCATAAAATACAATATACAACGTCATCACGTTTAAATATTTTATTTCGCTGTTAACAAGAACACGTCACAAATGACACAAGATAAGGGCGCCCCCTATCATTCATACGAGTCGGCCAAGTCAGATTCATAAAGATTATAAAGTATGTGAGCAAAAGTCCCAAATTAAAAAAAACAACAACCAAAAACACACAAAATGTTAAATATGACGTCGGTCTGTAAATAATCAAGACTGGACCAGACAATTCAATGATTATCTTCATAAGCATCCATGGTATGTGATGTCATGCATCAACCAAGTCAGCGAGCCTGACCACCTGACGCCTCTTACGACAAGCATGAGTTAATGAAGACTTGCCAGTGTTCAGGTCGAGAGTGTATCTTTGAAATACCTTTATACTTTTAAACATACATGTACTTCACTGACGTTTAGAATGGAAACCGAATTTTACACAATTTAACTTACCCAGGAACTTTACTCGACTTATCCGCAAATGTGCACCCGTGAAGATCTGATCGAGTTAGAACTTGTCTTCAGCAACCTATGATTGTCCCAATTGCGCAGATCGATGCTCATGCTGTTAATTTACTGGATTGTCTGGTCCAAATTCGGTTATTTACAGACCGCCGCCATATAGCTGGAATATTGCTGAGTGCGGCGTAAAACTAAACTCACTCTCACTCACAAATGTGCTGTCACAGACATAGGGCATACTGATTCAGACGCACACTGTTACCTCAAAAAATATTTACATTGGTTTCTCAACAATATTTACATAAGGTCATCTTCCACAACCGCTCAAAGAACCAAATTTGTTTGGACTCTTTTGCAATGGAGATGCGTACAGCCCCAGTTTCCTAAATAGAGTAGTCTCCCTTGAAATTTGCCCTCCCATCTTCGCGGAGAAGAAGAGGTTGTAAAACGAGAGAAGAGGTTGTAAAATGTCTGCGCCAAGTATGCCAAAACGAGTGAGGAAGAAAGACCAATTTAAGTATCGAGGAGTCAAACATGATTGATAAGGTGAAGCTTCACTGAGTAAGAGAGGTGCAAGTACATGCACATAAATCACCGAATATGTTTTGTCAATAGATAAATAGAATAATCGTCAATGGCTGAAGTTGATCCAATGAGTATACACGTATAACTGTTAGTGGATGTACCTTGAAAGGATGTTGAAGTAGCGTAAAATAGTTGGCTCCTCAGAGGGTACGTAAGTCCCATAGTATTCATTTCATCTCCAAAATTTAATTGTAGAATATTTGATCTTTTAATGCACGGCTAATTTGCTTGACAATCGCTTTCACCTGTAGGAATGATGTAAATCTAGATAGGGTCCATGAAGGTAGCAGAGGTACTGTAAGTCCCCATTGGACCCTAGTATGGTCCCCCGCCGCGATATTGCTGGAATATTGCTAAAAATTTGTTCTCAAAGCGGCGTAACACCGTACTCACTCACTGTCCATCAACGACAGGTTTTTAATTTGTTCTCGTCACGATATGGCTGAAATACTGCCGATGTGACGGTGAATATTTACTCACTCACTCACTCGGTCTTTTTCAACTGTTAATGGAAGACCTCGGGCTTCTGCAAATGATAATGTCCTCAAAAATAGCATTACCCTTATTATTGCTTAAGTTTACCCAAATTAACTTCTGACGGGGTTGACTGCCCGAATGTAATTACGTCATCGAACAATTCAAGTGACGGCACAAGAGAAAGTGACGATATTCGACCTTGGCCTTTGACAAGACCATAGCCTGCAACATGTCAAACTATGTCAGTGTTCGGTTTTGGTCCATCAACAGCCTTACTAGTGCAATGGTTAAGGTTAGCACCAACAAGAAAGCCAATATTGCCGCTATTTAAAGCGGGAATTCGGGTTGCTTTGACTTGTTTGACCCAGAATATCTGCCAGTCGAAAGCCAATTAATGTCGAATGAACCGTAAGCCCACGCATCCACTATGACGTCACTTGACAACAGAACTGATAGTGGCCCGTCGTTAAGGTTGAGCGGTCCAATATCATTTGCAGCGGCCCGCAAGTTTCTGATAATGGGAGGGTCGTTTCATGATAATTCCATGTATTTTAGCTATAATGAACCGTAAGCCCACGCAACCACTATGACGTCACTTGACAACAGAACACAACAGAACTGATAGTGGCACGTCGTTAAGGTTGAGAGGTCCAATATCATTTGCAGCGGCCCGCAAATTTCTGATAATGGTCGTTTCATGATAATTCCATGTATTTTAGCTATAACTACAATTATGAACCAGACGGTCCTGTGATCGAAATTGTGAGCAACAACCGACCCTGCTGGGGCACGACGACATCCAATGAACCAAATCTCCGATCGTGACAACCCAATCAATCAAGTCGACTCGTACGACCAGCAGGCCCGTGAAGATCCGGGTTAGAATTGATCTTCAGTGACCCATGCTTGTCGTAAGAGGCGACTGACGGGATCGGGTGGTCAGTCTCGCTGACTTGGTTGACACATGTCATCCGTTCCCACGCGTAGATATATTCTCATAGTGTATATCACTGCAGTGTTTGGTCCAGGCTCGATAAAATACAAATGGCTGCCGTATAGATGGAATATTACTGAGTGCGGCGAAAAACTAAACCCACTCACTCACTACGAACAGCTGGGGATGTTTGAACCCGTTCTCACTGTGGATAACCAGGTTGGCAAAACAGATAAACAAGTATCTTTGCTAAATATATTTATTGTTCGGATTTCTTTTGTGAAGGATTAAATTGGTCGCCATCTTGGACATGAACTGGATGTCCATTTCCATTGTTAACATTTTTCGACTGGCATTCATCACAGACATATCACATTTTTCAATGACAATCAATCAATGAAAATCAACTTAAAAGGTAGAAACATCTTTCATACACGCACTCTATAAACAGTGTGCATAATATTTTTGTATTTGAAAAGAAATGTAGTACACTCTTTGGGGCCGGTACAAAGGTTTGATTTTCAGATATGTTAATTTCATAAGAGGGGAAGTCGGGATGCTACTTGCTCTGTAGCCTTCCACCAGACAAAAATATACTGACTTGATTTCTATATGTTTTGGAGAGTAACTAAACCAAATCATATATTCCAATCATATTGTCCAATATTCTGTTGTTATTATGCTAGTAGGATTTAAATGTATCCCGCCATTTCATGGGCTTTGTCTTTGGCGGTATTGGTAGTAAATCCTTCATTTTCAGTGCGTAATACTGAGTGGTAGATTTAATCTACAGAAACCTGGCAAATGAATTTGAACACCTAGAAATTTAACTTCGGTTTATAAACGTTCAGAAAAGGCTGCGAAAACAAGAATAGCCACTAATTTTTATTATTTTCAGAGTTTTTCGGGATTGGGGAAATTACTAAAAAAAAGTTTTGCATCCGACATAGATTAATATCGAACTGGTCCCTTATCAGTATTCATATCTTGTCAACGATTTAGAAGAAACAGGAATGAAAATGATCTTAACGTTTATCATTAATAATCAATGCACATTCTCGGACAAGTTGATACACCTCTGAGGCATGTGATGTAGTGCAGTATGTCGCATTGGTCCACAGTGTGTTTAATACAGGGGACCCGCTAGAATGTTTCAGAACACTATACAGAAATATGTCAATGAATGGACTTGACTGCCAGCGTCATCTTTGCTGAGTGCTGTCGCCATGGTAACCTCAGTGTGACGTCAAATGTGGCCAAAGATGGCGGCGCGGTCTGGCGTTATGACTTTGAGTAAAACATTTGGATGCTGTGTCACATGTTGGTATAATGCACAAAATACTATCACCGTGTTTGTATAATAACAGGTTTGCAAACATATACTTGTACAAATCTACCGTAAATAGTCTAAAAACTGGAATTACAGTAATAGTATCTGATCAACAGCTAGCACATGGATGCAGTACAGAATGATGTATTGATATTACAGTGTACCCAGCATTCACTACACCGACCTAGCAGATATTATAAATTAGTTACCTCACCGTTCAACAAGTGAACATGGTCAAATAAATTCAAACCTTATTAAAATTAATTTTAAATCGCTTATCTCAAACATATACTGAATCAACAAAGTTAGGTACCCAGATGGTTTTTAAGGCATCCTTTTTCAGTGAGAAATTGGGTCAGTGTTTATTTATTAGGTATCAAAAGTGAGTCAGTTTAGTTTTACGACGCTCTTAAGAATATTCCAGCAATATCATGTCGGGGGACATCAGAAATGGGTTCACACACTGTACCCATGTGGGGAATAGAACCCGGGTATTCGGGGTGACGAGCGAACGTATTAGGCACTAGGTTACCCAACCGTCCCTTAAAGGATCAATAATATTTTGGGGATATTTTTCATAAAATTGTAGGCTCCCTCACTCCCAAAAATATTTTTCATGATCCCTAAATCTGTCTTTCAGTATGTGTAATTGAGTTTATTATACAATTGAACATATCTAGAAATGTGTGTTTATAAGACAGAAGATTCCGTCAATCTACATAATGAGTCAACGTTTCTGCTTATTATCTAAACCTCTCTGCTACGACACGAAGCTTGAGCTGGAAATGAGTGACGTTACTCCTTGTAGATGAGGACGGGGACGTGGCAGTGGTGAAGGACGCCTTCACTCACGCTGCCGAGCAGGGTGCGCTTGATCTTGCCCATCCCCCGGGTACCGATTACGATGACGTTAGCATTAATCTTCTTGGCTTGGTTGCATATCTCGTTCCACACTTCCTGACCCCTCAGTGCTTCAAACTCGGCACTGACCTGAAAATTGTCAAAGTAAAAATTATTATTGCGTAGATCGATGCTCATGATAGGTGTGACCACATTCGTCACCCCTCGCCCCTTTCCGTAACCTATTCGGCTTGTCCCGGAATAACACGAGTTGGTCACGAATGGTGTGACCAGTGAATGAAACAAGGCCCGTTCGGCCGCCCGAGACGGGCTAGATTTCTGACGGTCTAAATTTACAGCTAGTCAGCCCGATGGTCTGGTAAAACATTTAGATAACATGTTCCATACATCTGAATAAATTAACCATATCTTAAAATATATTTTTCAAATTGAGCGTTACATTTGGACTTGACAATACTACTGTTTGAACACCCGTGAAGGTCCGGGTTAGAATGTGCCTTCAGTAACCCATGCTTGTCGTAAGAGGCGACTAACGGGATCGGGTGGTCAGGCTCGCTGATTTGGTTGACATATGTCATCAGTTCCCCATTGCGCAAATCGATGCTCATGCTGTTGATGACTGGATTGTCTGGTCCAGACTCGATTATTTACAGACCGCCGCCATATAGCTTGAAATTGCTGAGTGCGGTGTAAAACTAAACTCACTCACTCACTCACTGTTTGAACATTGAACTACAAGTATCGTATCGCAAGCTCAAAGCACTGCGTTGAAATATATTATCACTAAAAGAGCGAAACCTATCGATGCGCGGAGTTCTACAGTAAATACATGTCTCAGATTCATTAATTTATTCATGCCCATGATGTTGATCACTGGATTGTCTGGTCCATACTCGATTATTTACAGACTGCAGCCATATAGCTTGAATATTGCCGGGTAGGGCGTAAAACAATAAACAGAAAGCAGACAACGTGTCTTACTGAAACTTTGCAATGAAGTGAATATGGTTTTACGACGCTTTCGAAACATTTCAGCAATATCACTGAGAGGATACACACAAAAAATGGGCTTAATTCAGTGTTCCCTTGTGGGGAATCGAACTCAGGTCGTCGGCGTGACGATCGAACACTTTAACCACAAGTCGATTTCAAACGTGTTTTCAAGTGAATAACTTATTATCGTAAGATGGGCTTGGGTGGCCAGTCGACGGAAGAGCCTGCCGGAAATCATGGGTTCGAATCTTGGTTCAACTATTTCTAAGACTTTCAGTACCATATCAGTGCTCGTAGAGCCTTCAAAAGGTCAAGTGTCTGAAATCTGCACAACTTCAGTTCTGTTACATGGAGTAGGCGTTTGCTTCCGGGTTCAATGTGTGCAACCCATTTCTGGTGTTCTCCGACTTGATATTGCTGGAATATTGCTAGGTGTTCGGGGAAAGGTATGTGTGTCCTGACTTACCGCTGGTTCCTGTTAAAAACACATGCAAGGGCAAGTCAATTGTAAGCGAATGCTCTGTCCAACTATCTACACCACCTAAATCATTAAAATCACTAAATCATTATGCAAGATATATCGATGAAACTGTTTTTCTACCTACCCCAAATTGTTCAGAAATGTCACTGAATTTTTTTTCAATCACTTTCGTATTTGCATTGGTCTCTTCTATGACTTCCTTTATCCGACCAGGGCCTGTAACAGAAACACACACCCCAAAACCAGCATTAAGTTGAACTACAAATCAAGGCGTATAGTAACTTTGGGGGAACTTACCATGTCTCATCATGCCCTCGTTTAATAGGCGGAAGGTCAGGGTTGGGCTGGTAGTACGATATTATTCGTATTGCGAGATCCTGTACCGGAATATACCGGTTTACCGGTAATATTGCACAGCCCTAGCTGGTAGCACTATAAGTATGTAGGGGAGTGAGTGAGTTTAGTTTTACGCCGCACTCAGCAATATTCCAGCTATATGGCGGCGGTCTGTAAATAATCGAGTCTGGACCAGACAATCCAGTGATCAACAGCATGAGCATCGATCTGCGCAATTGTGAACCGATGACATGTGTCAACCAAGTCAGCGAGCCTGACCACCCGATCCCGTTAGTCGCCTCTTACGACAAGAATAATCGCCTTTTGTGGCAAGCATGGGTTGCTGAAGACCTATTCTACCCCGGATCTTCACGGGTCATATAAGTATGTATGTAAGTATGAGAAGTTTATATTACCGCCATGTTAAATGCCTCTCGACTGAATTAATAAAATCAGTGAAACCAGAGACCATACAATAGTATATTATATGGTCTCGGTGAAACATCTTCTGACAAGCTACCACATGCTATAAAAATGTTGATTATGTTTAAGTTGAGAGTGCAAACGATTCAATGTATGAAATAGTTTAAATAAAGCAGTGAAAGTCGGTTAAATAAATGTGTACATATAGTGAACTCAAAAACAGCTAAGCGAACGGTTTTCGAACTCCGTGCACTGCATGCGTCATATTATGACGTCATATGATTGTCAGCGATACAGCTTCTCGGCGGAGAGTTTGGCGGCTACCGTGGCAGCGGGTAATATTTGTTCCAGTTGTCACCCTCCTGGGAGGGGTGACACGGAAACTTGTTAAAGCGTCATTCACCAATGAAATTAAAGTATTTTACATGAAGGTATTTTACAGATCAGGGTACGGTAGGCCATACTCACTCATCATATGTCCAACGTCCCCCCAGTATTCAGGCACGTGGCAGAGGAACAGCTTGTGGTTGGGTCGATGGAACGTATTGAGATACCCTGCATCAGATGAAAATGGCATATGATGTTTGTTTGTTTATTTCTTTGTTGTTTAACGTCGCACTTAGCAGTGTTGCAGCTAGATGGCGACGGTCTGTAAATGATAGCCTCTGGACAAGACAATCCAGTGATCAACATCATGGGCATCGGTCTGCGCAATTGGGATCCAATGACATGCGTCAACCAAGTCAGCGCCCTGACCACCCGATCCCGTTAGTCGCCTCATACGACAAACATGGGTTAATGAAGACCAATTCTAACCCGGACCTTCACGGGTCTATTATTTAGGAGAGAATATTTCCCCCTTGTGTCGAGTCGATGACATGTATTGCTACCAAGGCACCTCGGGGTCCTTGCACCCACAGTAATTTACAAACTAAACTATCCGATGAAAATATCTGTTAGAACAGTGAGTGAGTTTACTTTTACACCTCTTTTAGCAATAGTCCAGCAATATCACGGCGGGGACACCAGAAATGGTTTTCACACATTGTGCCCATATGGGGATCGAACCCGGGTCTCCGGCGTGACGAGCGAACGCTTTAACCACTAGGCTACCCCACTGCCCCGTTATAACAGGTTGTCGCAAGAGACTACGAACGGGATTGGGTGGTCAGACTCACATGTTTCAAACACGCCGCAGCACAGCGTAATTCGATGTTCACGATGTCGTTGTGTTTTCATCAGAATCGACCATGTACTGATAACTGGGACATTACAAACAAACAAACAAACAAACAAAGCAATTTTAACATAAAGAAAAAGTCCAAGGTCGTTTCCAAGCATGACTCTTTCGTCATGCCTAGTCTAGACGACATACATTGACTTGTATACGTGACACGTTCAACACAAATTACCAATGCGACATATACACCCGTGACACCAACACCGTCTTCAATGTGACAGGAGTTAGCGCAACTGTTACGAGCATAGCGAACCGGTCCAGGCGTGATTGTGTAATGACAAAGGATACAGTTGCATATGTACACATTTCCCATACAACACATGGTGTACCTACATACAAAACCGTTAATCCCTACTGAACCAAATAAAGCGGGCTTGCTATATCGCCGACAGCGCAAACCTAGTGTCGAGGTGTACATTCAATAACAAGCACGCATCAGAGACCATATAACAGATTATGTTATATGAAATATAATAGATTATATTATATGGTCTCTGCATGCATTGATATCAAATTGAAACATGTTGGCAGCAGGTTGAAGTGGCCGCGAAATAATTGAATGGATGCTTGTGTTGAACAGAGAAATTCCTTTACAGTATAGGTCATATTTGGTAAGAGTTGAAACTGGCGTTTCGGTGAAACGAACAGTTTCTGACGAGTAAGCGGCTTGTATTTCACTCCGCTTTAAGCAATATCAGGGTTCGATTTAAGAGATGTTAACCCACTTGCGCCAGGTGCAACCTAAGATAAAAACCTAGTTGCACCAGTCAAATTCCAGTTGCACTGTTTTTATTGCAATATGTAATATTAGAAATATGCTATTGAATTATTTAGATGTTTTATTCAGAAGTTTACCCAATCAAAATTTGACTTGCACCCTAGTGCAAGTTAGACTAATTACTAGGTTGCACTTTGTAATATGAGGTTGCACAAGTGCAAGCAACAAAGCACTAAATCGAGCCCTGAATATGCACTTAATATCACGGTGGGGGACACCAGAAATGGGTTTCGCACATTGTGGGGAATCGATCCAGGTCTTTGGGGTGACGAGCGAACGCTTTAACCACTCGGCTATCCTACCACCCCAGTTACTGACGAGAGGTGCGCGTGTGTATTCATGTACTTGAGACAACTGACCTTTAACACTGCATAAAACAGTACTCAGTTGACGGGGTGTCAGGTGTCGGAGAACATTGTACACTGAAACACGTTGTGGTGTTTGTAAATAAGGTGGGATAAAAAGTGGGTCTAACGTAGCATTTTAAAATTGTTTCACTCATAACGCGATGACCATGGACGTGAGTGAGCGCGTGAGTGAGTGAGTGAGTGCGTGTGTGTGCATTCAGATCTAACAGCGCATCTGCTACATGTCAGCCATTGAGCGAAACGATGTTCAAATATTTCCAAAAGTACTTCATTATCACAAATTTAGAATCACATTCGAAAGCTTTTTCATGTAAACAATTTAGCATTATAACGTCATTTATATTATTAATTACGTTACGGACTATAAAATTACTTACAATTCAAAACACGGACTGTGAGCCCGACTCTCTCGCAAGGTTTTTGGTGCAACGAAGACTTGGGTCGTGCCACTGTCCTACTTACCGGGATACGATTGTCCACTAGACAATGGAGGAGGACCCAAGTTCATGGCAATATACTTGGATGGAAATATTCATGCTTGATGAAGTATTGGAGCATTTATGAGAAACGTTCATGATTTTTCGTTTAGTGTGATACTATAAGATGTGGACATCTTGTGCCACCAGCCTCTATATTCATTCGCACTCTTTTACCCAGTTTATATCACCATTCAAACAACACCCGAGTCGCTCCACTGAACAATCCATTGTCATGATTCATGTGAGGCCCGCGGTAGCTGACCGACCACTGACCTGCTAAGACTTTTTTGCTGTTTAACTGCACGATCAGCAAAATTCCTACAAGGTCAAGGCGGCCTTGAAATAGTCGAGTTACGGACAGGCAACCCAGTTAACAATGTGACGTCACAATGCTATCATATCACGTTAATTCAACGTTGTGGTTAACGCTGTGGTATGTCATGTTCACGTCACGTCACAATGTTGAATTGTGTTTTGTGTTATACCCTTACGTCCATGCAACGTCATTCCGTGTACTACTACGTATAGTCTGTTTGCAGTGAAAACGTACCAATGAATTTCACTTTAAACCAAAAAGTAAAACAAATAAAGTGAAATTAAGACTGCGAATCCTCATGATTTTAATTTGCCAATTGAACATTTAAATCTCAGAATTTTAATCCACTTAGGATAAAAGTTGTTTAACAAACGATCATTGTTTCACATCGCTATTATTGGGTTGTATTACAAGGGGGTATGCATATCAAATGAAATACCGAAAACGACAAGGGTTGTTATAAGTTAACGCTCTTCACGTACCGCACGTGCATTTGTTTCACTGTTCCAACTACAGCGCTTACCCTGTTGTAATACAAACCAGTAATATCGATTTGAATCTATGATCGTTTGTTAAACAACTTTTATCCTAAGTTGAATAAAATTCTGAGATTTAAATGTTCAATTGGCAAGGTAAAATTATGAGGATTCGCAATCTTAATTTCACTTTATTTGATTCACTTTTTCGCTTAAAGTGAAATTCATATGTACGTTTTCACTGCAAACAGACTGTATATGCTGTGACAACGACGTGTGAAGCCCTTTCTGGTGTCACCCGCCGTGGTATTGCCGGGATACTGCGTAAAGGGTGAAACGCCATACTCACTGTAAAAAGCAGATTCCCACTTTTGTTAAACTAGTACACTTTAGTTTCCACTGAACAATCAATTGAATAGTGTGTATGTGTACTCTTTGATGAGTGAGTGAGTATGGTTTTACTCCACTTTTAGCAGTATCCCAGAAATATCACAGCGGGGGACACCAGAAATGGACTTTACACATTGTACCCATTTCGGGAATCGAACCCGGGTCTTCAGCGAGACGAAGGAACGCTTTAACCACTAGGCTACCCCACAACCCTTTCATTCATCAGACATGCCCCACCCATATAATAAAATAAATGAAAGTAAACGTTATAAAGGATACAATCAGGGCCCGTATACATCCATCTTTTATTTACTTCTATCAACGATTGTGCCGGGTCGATAACGAATCGTGTACTAACAACTAACTACTTTAATGACTCGATACACCAACGCTGAGTTAACCGATCGATGATGGCGACGCAAGCCCAGTGTCCTTACAATATACCGTATGTCCTCTATTAATATTAATAAATAATAATGCCGCTGACTACCCGCCTTGCGGGCATGCTTTAAGCGCATACAGCATAATGGGCATTATAGACAAACAACTAGACTCTGAAATGAACATTTTTACTGAAAAAAACCCGTTCATAGTAAAAAGATATATACATAATGAAAAGGAGCCCAGAGACTTTCTTCATTTTCACCTGAAGCTGAGGAAATCTAGACTTGCCACATTTTCTAGACTTGCGGGGGCTTTCTTGGATATATTTGCTTCAGGGTCTGTACGAGAGACTACGGACAGTATTACTCCGGATAATCCGAGCTTCATGTGAGGCTCTAGAAGGTTTATAGTCACATGTCTTATCCCACCGGGTACCCATTTTCTGTTGCGTGAACAGCAGCAATTTTGAACAAGCTCACTTGCCTAAGTGCCTCGTTGTGGGGCAGGATAGATTGAAGTCCTGGGCCCCGTTCCTCAAAGCGATCGTAGCGCTATGACTGTCGTAAGTCTATGTTAAAGTATGGAGTTTCGATCACGTTTGTGATACGATCTCTTTGAGGGCCATGGCAACTCTCAAGAGTCAGGCTGCCAACCACGGTCACCCTCCAAGGACTCTCCGTGACCAACATTGCTTTACTTCAACTGAGTAATGAAGATCCGGGGTAGAATTGATCTTCAGGAACCAATGCTTCAGGCGACTGAATGGATCGGGTGGTCAGACTCGCTGACTTGGTTGACACATGTCATCATATCCCAATTGATCGATGCTCATGCTGTTGGTCCAGACTCGATTATTTACAGACCGCCGCCATATAGCTGGAATATTGCTGAGTGCGGCGTAAAATGACGTCACACACGGGTATTACGTTCTGTCAAAAATATAAAGGCAGGGTCTCTGTGATGTGTTGGCGATTGATACTGACCGTTTCCTGCAAATGTAGGTATCTTTTGCATGTCTGCAGATTTGGGATATGATTATGTCAGTAGCCACTCTGAGCGGCAATAAACAAAACAGTTTCCAGGTATCGGTGCATGCCAGCCTCTAAACGCCTGGTCAGCGTCAAATTATTAGAAGCACGAGCGTTATATTGAGGAAGTACGGTATCTACAGCAGGTATAGATCCATACGAGACAACACTGGAGCACGCATTCACACATGTACACGCATGCACGCACTCATACAGTTCAACACCGAGCCTTGCCTATTAGTATATACCCCAACGAAGCCTTATATCGGTGACAGGATTATAAACCGACCATATGTATGTTAAACCAAACAGCATTCCTGAGTATGAACATATACCTGAACTCCACGAACACAACAATTCACAGATATAGCTCTAATCATCAACCAGTTAAATATGATTTAGAAACTTAACAACAACCGAAATGATGAATGAAAAGCATACATTTTAAACAATGGGTGATTTGAAACTGTGCATCTCACTAATTACTCCCTGCAATATAGGTGCAACTGATTCCTGCATACTTACACCTGTAGGCTTTTTCGCTAATGTCACTGTTGTCAACGGAAACAAGGACTGTTGTTTCTCCTCCTGCCATTGTGGATGGTTGATCGAACTGTCAAGATTGTCCTTTCGTTGCTGCTCAACACCTGACTGACGCCAAACTGGGATATTGAGTTGATGCGGTCAAAAGGTCAAGGGAGCGGTTATTGTAGCCAACTGCGCAAGAGCACAGACGTGAGCAGATGTTTCTCAATATGACAGTCTCGATTATGGAGGTTAGCATGAGAGAAATCGTTGCAATTCTAATTTGATTTTTATTTCAGATTTTTTTTATTAATTATAACACCAATTTAGATTTCAAATTTAAATATACGCCGTCTTGTACGTGTATGTACGTGACAACGCATGTTAAAACGAAACTGTCTATGGGCTAACGTCCTTTATCTAGTTTAGTATGTACATTTATATGTGCACATTCAGCACGGTTGAATGTGGAGTCGGACAATGGCAAGTTGTTATATATAATCAAGTCGTTTGTCTGCTTTAGTTCTTAAACTGGTTTCAAGCTTGACTGAACATGAGCCATGCGCAGTGCTGTCCAACTGCAAACTTAAGCGTGTTGTTAACACATGAACTCTCGTTACAAACACAGTCGGTTAGCGTTTAACAAAACAACGTTACCGCGTTGTGTTTGTTAAAAGGGAGTTAACATCACCTCAGCGGTAAAATCTTTTTGTACAACGGCAGTGGGATAGCTTAGTGGTTAAAGCGTTCGCTCAAGACCCGGGCTTCGATTCCCTACATGGGTACAAAGTGTGAAGCCCATTTCTGGTGTTCCCCGCTGTAATTTTGCTGGAATATTGCTAAAAGCGACGTAAAACCATAATCACTCACTCACTCACTGTAGAATAGGTTTATGTCACATTCCTTCGTCTGATTTCATGGCACGCCATCGATACCTCAGAAAAAATGCTCTCTCCTAATAACTTAAATCGTTACTTGTATATTGTCCCCGATCACCTGAATCATAAATAAATAAATAGTACTGGTCATCAAGTAAAATTAATTGTGAAAAGACGAATGAACTGATATATATTTCTTCAGAACATACGAGTATCAACATCCAACTTATGCTTTTCACGTTATTTGTATTGATTTTCGGTTGCGTTAACCTGTAATGACCGTTTCCAAGGCAACCAACAGATGGAGACGCCATGATGCACTGTATGATAAGGACCTATAGATCATCTTGCCAGTAGCGAGTATTAATCCGCTAAGGCTTGAGCTGCGTATAACGGTACTGTGAACAATAGCGTGAGTGGACGCTGTGTATCTTCGCAGTCACACACACAAAAACCACACCAATATTTTCAGTTATAATAATTGATATATATCATGAACAACGACCCGCGCCGGCGGAGTATGACTGTGTGATAAAGTACAAACAATAAGCACGGTTATGGGGCAGGGAATCGAACCCAGTACGGTTGCTTGCTCCGAAAAGAGGCTCTTGGCTTGCCCACTATATAAGGGAGCATCATAGTCAGTTGTTGTTGGTTGTTTAACGCCGCACTCAGCAATATTCCAGCTGTATGGCGGTTCAAAGTTAGAAATATGGGGTAGTTTAACCCATGATGGTTCATGTTAAGAGGGCGGTGGGGTAGTCTAGTGGTTAAAGCGTTGGCTCGTCACGCCGAGGGCCCGGGCTCGATTCCCACATGGGTACTATGCGTGAAGCCCATTTTTGATGTCCCCGCAGTGATACTGCTGGAATATTGCTAAAAGCGGCGTAAAACCCAACTCACTCACTTTCTCAAGTTAGCATTACTGGGTTCTTTTCTACAAAGCGATCTTAGCGCTTATATAGTAACTCCAATACCATAACATAGACTTACGACTGGCGTAGCGCTACTTAAGATCGCTTTATACAACGGCACCCTGATCCACAGCAACCGTTGCTGGTCGTAAGACGCGACTGAATGGAACCGGGTGGTCAGGCAAGGTTCTGGTTGATTGTATTTCATCGAGTCTCATTGCGTAGATCGATACAGTGATGTCAATCACTGGATTATCTGGTCCAGACTCTCTTGTTCATCTCTCAGTTATTGTGTCAGATCTTGGTCAAGATTCAGTTGTAAACGTTGTGCTGTCTCATTTGACTTCATTGGCAGTAAACATTTATATTTCGTTGATCGAAATGATATTTTAATATAACTTAGGTATTGTTTGTGTTCATTCGAAGTTCAAAATTTTTAAAGATATCTTTTAACAATGGTGAAAATTGAAACCTGAAAATTGACTAATGAGTTACATGTACAAACATTGTCGTATACAGGTAGTTTCTTTTTCCCCACTGTATATTTTAACTCTCCGATCTTTGTCTGTTTTTAATAAAGATTCTACACTAGGTGGAACCAGAAACAACCATACACCTACAGGATTGCGTCGGTCGTACGAATATCATTTTCAAGTGTGTAATGGTATTCCAATTGCCTTGATCCATGTCCATGCTGTAGATCACTGGATTGTCTGGTCCAAACTCGATTACAGACCGTCGCCATATGGCTGGAATATTGCTGAGTGCGGCGTTCAACAACAACACACAACAACAACAACAACAACAACCAAACCAAACCATTTTCAAGTAGCTCTAGAATAATAATTTTCTTTCGATACATTTGAAATTATCTGATATAATGATAATGATATAATTATAACTTAAAATGTGCTGTCGATTTCGAATCAGTTTCTTCCATTACAGATTTTTGTAAACACATACATTAATTTGAACTATTTCACTGCTTGAGTTCATACAAAAGGGGGTCCGTGGCGAAGGCCAAGTGGTTAAAGCGTTCGCTCGCCACACCGAATACCGGGTTCGATTCTCCCCATAGGTATGTGTCAATCGATGTAAACTTCCTAGGAAGTATGGAACCCAGGATGCCTGTGTGCCTCAAGAGGGTAACCGCCACAGTTCAATACCATCCTCCCGGGTACCCATTTACTGCTGGGCGAATAAAGGCACAGTTGGAATATAGTTACTTATAAAGACGAGACCCCGTGTGTACTACATGTGCTTTAGTATGAGGTGAGGACCGAAGCTCCAGACAGCTACGGTCACCCTTCCAACTATTTTCTGCAGACAGATTTTAATTTCACCTTGCTTGTAACCTGTCTGCATGGACACAGGGTCATATGCCACTAATTATGAGGCATCTATTGTGTAAATCACAAATTAACGTTACACCGCTATCAGCTGATTGTTCCATACACTAACATACAGTAGCAGGCGGTGGGGTAGCCTTGTGGTTAAAGCATTTGCTCATCACGCCAAAGGCCCGGGTTCGATTTCCCACATGGGTACAATGTGTGAAGCCCATTTCTGGTGTCCACCGCCGTGATATTGCTGGAATATTGCTAAAGGCGGTGTAAAACTAAACTCACTCATAGTGTACAACTGGCTCCCCTCCCTGCAACTATAAACGTACATTAAGCGAGAGGTACACGGACAGGCAACGAAGCTTGTAGGTATATATATTTAGTGTCATAAGTCGGAATGCGCAGTCGTCAGATACGCCGGATTTCGATGAACAGAGCTGTACGCTGTGTGATTGTGCGTTCGAATTCCCCGTTCACCCTGATAATGTGTTCACCCTGATAATGTGTCCACCCTGATGTGTTCACCCTGATTATGCTGTTCACCCCGATAATGGTGTTCACCCTGATGATGGTGTTCACCCTGATGTGTTCACCCCGATAATGGTGTTCACCCTGATAATGGTGTTCATCCCGATAATATATCCACCCTGATAATGTGTTCACCCTGATAATGGTGTTCACCCCATAATGTGTTCACCCTGATAATGTGTTCACCCTGATAATGGTGTTCACCCCATAATGTGTTCACCCTGATAATGTGTTCACCCCGATAATGGTGTTCACCCCATAATGTGTTCATCCTGATAATGTGTTCACCCTGATAATGGTGTTCACTCCGATAATGTGTTCACCCCGATAATGTGTTCACCCCGATAATGTGTTCACCCCGATAATGTGTCCCCCCTGATAATGGTGTTCACCCTGATAATGTGTTCACCCCGATAATGTGTCCACCCTGATAATGTGTTCACCCCGTTAATGTGTCCACCCCGATAATGTGTTCACCCCGATAATGTGTTCACCCTGATAATGTGTCCACCCTGATAATGGTGTTCGCCCTGATGTGTTCACCCCGATAATGTGTCCACCCCGATGTGTTCACCCCGATAATGTGTTTACCCCGATAATGTGTTCACCCTGATAATGGTGTTCACCCTGATAATGTGTTCACCCCGATGATGTGTTCATGATGTGTTCACCCCGATAATGTGTTCACCCCGATAATGTGTTCACCCTGATAATGTGTTCACCCTGATAATGTGTCCACCCTGATAATGTGTTCACCCTGATAATGGTGTTCACCCTGATAATGGTGTTCACCCCGATAATGGTGTTCACCCTGATCATGGTGTTCACCCCGATAATGTGTCCACCCTGATGTGTCCACCCCGATAATGTGTTCACCCTGATAATGTGTCCACCCTGATAATGGTGTTCACCATGATAATGTATGTAGACTGCACATGGAGCTCCTGGGTTTCCCCAACACCCTGAATGCCTATCACTTAGGGCTTTACTGTTTAATTTTTCAATTTGTACAGTTTGTTGACGAGTATGTTCGAATGCTAGTAACCATTTTAATTATAAAAGAGTCAAACGTAAATATTTCGTTTTGTCATTCTCGCTTCGTATTTGAAAGAACCCAAATGGCCTTGGGATTACGTAAACGATCATTGCACCCTTCATCTGATGCAGTGACGGTTTGCCTTCAAAGAACCCATATGGAGGTGAAGCTGGGATGACATTCGTAAAGATTTTACTACTAATAAACAAACTTTATGGATAAAACTTCATTTATTTCGTGAGTGTAAAAGAAGTTGTTATCCACAAAGAGTGTCTTTTATTGTACTTCCCATCTTCTAAAAATGCCACAAAAAAAAGATTTTACTGCCGCATCTAAGAATCAGCTGACTGAGACACGCATCATTCGTGAGCAACTCGTGTTTTTCCGGTACAAGCCGAACACCGTCTTCCTGGAGGTCATTCGTCACCACTCGCCCCTTTCCGTAACCTCCAAGAAGCTATTCGGCTTGTCCCGGAATAACGCAAATTGGTCACGAATGGGAGGTTACAGAAAGGGCGAGTGGTGACGAATGGGTGGGCTTACGCATTTGTCCACAGATGACTCCAATGTGGTATTATAAACAGGTAGTTTGTCTGTGCACAACATACACCCTGCCAGTCAGACGCATGATACGATTACTGGTGACAATGCCGCTTTCATGCCAGGACTGCTATAGTGTACATAATATCAGGCTTCATCAATCCAAACTAATATCTTTTGCTCCAACACTATACCTGTTTGGATTAAGATCTGACGTCACCTCCTAGATACCCAGAACATTTAAATCAACCAATCAGCATTGAGGTTTCTAGTATGACTTTCGTCATGACTGCCCCAATCATTCACAGGCATCTCTTTTCTGTGCGTCGAAAAAAAATGTAATCGGTTAGTTCGGAATGCAAAAATATAAAGCCGCGCCACTTCATTGTGCATATTCCGAGCCGACCATATGTATTGACACCGTTCATACACCACGGAGGCGGTACTTAATTATAAGCAGTGTGTCAGTGGAAAACTGTATTCAAATGACAATAAACAGTTTTGATGATAATGACTGTTTTATCGTTAGTGAGACACATAAATATAAACGTTGTTGCAAAAATCTCCAAAGACCTTGGTGTATATCGACAAAAATCGAGAAGAAATAGATCTTGGCTCGGAGGCTCAGAAAACCTGGAACACGCACTCGTTTGGGGGACTTAGCGAGTCAATAAGACAAAATGTTGGTAGTCTGTATATGAGACAAATCCGTACTGTAACCATGGTAACATGAACTACGACACGTGATGCACGTGGATTAGTGGAACGTTCAGTAAGGAAATGGATGATTGTACAATTTCTGGTACACTTCGTCGAACCTTTCACTCTGCGCAACAGTAAACCAGTTCTTCCAGTCTCCCGATTCACCTGAAGACAGAAGTCGGTCTGCAATTTACATCACGATCTGAACGCCCCTACTTTATTAGAAACTAGATATATAGGTAGACGTGGACACAGGCAATACTCCCAGGCGACTGACTAAAGAGTGATAAATTATCTCCCCTGAAATGACTGAGTGTGTTTGAAAACATATTTGGCGAAACCTAGAGTCAAGTAGTAAATTTCTTGTAGATCAGTTTTGAGTACTTAATTTTACAATTGGGTAGAACAATTAAGAAACAAAATATAAAATAACACAAAAACGTCCTTAATGCATCTTAGGAAGTTTTACAAGCAGTGTTGCAAATATGGAATTTGGGCGCAAAAAGCAACAAAACAAAAATACAACAAAACCCCCAAAAAACACACACACAACAACAACAACAACAAAGACAACAAACAAACAAAACAAAACCCCAATTAACCAACAAAAAATCCCAAAACAAACAAATAACAACAAAAACAATAAAAAACAAACAAAAACAAATAGTAACAAAAAACCCTAACAACAAACACAAAACAAAAAAAAATAACCGAAAAAACAACAACAAAAAGACCCACACAAACAGCAACAACAAACAAACAAAAACAATAACAAAATATAACAAAAAACCCAAATCAAAACAGCAACTCAAATAACGGAAAGGGGACACTGTAATGCATTATGAATGTACCCTGCCCCGTCACCCTTTACCTTTCCTGAAGTAGCCGCTTGACCCTTCCCTCCATCGGTTGTGGAACGTTTGGTCTTTGATGTTTTCGGAAGCGTATTTCAACTTAGAAAAGCTGCACGCTTCAGCTATTTGTTCATACACGTCATCAGAGAGAGGGCGGTTGATGAACTCAGCCAGGCGCCGAACCTCCCGCACAGCATCCTTAAAATATTATAAATATAATCAGGACATGGAATACTTCAAATTATTGTTGACTAACACAACGAATATTCTAAAAAATAATATCTAACACTAAACAATCTCAATAAATTCCCACCCCACCAAAAACACCTCGGCCAAACAACCAAATCAAAACAAAATAATATAACACCATCAACAACAAAACAGACAACAAAACAACAAAAAACAAAAGACACACAAAGAAAAAGCACACACAACCAAACAAAGCAAAACAAAACTACGTGGTATTGTTCATGACGGAACATGAACAAAGCTATTCATATGAAGTGTTGTCGTGTAAATTTATTATGCAAAGTACTCACTTTCTTGAGATCTTCAAACTGTACTTGTAGGAATGGAACGTCTGGGTGTTCCTGTGGAAATCGGTTCCAACGGAGACTGTGTTCCATCACAGAATCAAATGGCACTGAAATTGTCATATATATTCCCTTCAAAAGTTTAGACTCACTTAAAACACTATATGTTATGTATATATATATATATATGGTGACATCGAAGATTGATTTCTCCACTAATTTGTGGGAACCAACTGCAAACCTTATGCAGAGAAATTGCGCAAAGATCATGCATCAAATTGCTGAAAAGCATGTGCAAATATCGTGCATGTGAACAGCTGGTTTTGGTGTAAAGTTTTGTTAAGAATTCGCCAATTTTCATTGATTTTTATCATTTATTGACCTCATGACAATAACCACGTGTAAACAGCACCTTTAAACAGTATGGAATGTTTTGCAAAATGTAGTTTAGAACAGTTGACTGAAATAAGTGGCTATATTTACACTAGTGAGTCTAAACTTTTGATAGGAAGTATATATATAACGCAACCGCGTGGCACACCAACATGGAATGAACATGCAACATGAATTTCGGGGCTTTAGAAACGATGGGTTTTCATTTGTCTGTCATCACAATTATACAGCAAGTGAAAAGTGAAAACATGTCACGATTGACATAAGCTCAATGCAACAAGAGTCCGGAAGGTCGCTGGCTCCGATCCCCGACCACGTCATGTCGCCAAGCACCATACAAAAATATGGAACCGTTAACAGATCCCTGCCTGACCATGTGCATTAATGGGTACAACAAGGACAGGTTCATATCGGTTCAGTCATAATGTGTCTGTGTGAGGAGTGAGTTTATACTTCACGCCGCATGGTATCTCAGTGGGCAGCAATATTCCAGCCATATGGCGGCTGTCTGTAAATAATAGAGCCTCTGGACCAGACATGCATCCAGTGATCAACAGCATGAGCATCGATTAAACGCAATTCCAAACCACCTCAATGCAACAACGTCATCGGCTAACTACAGACAGGCGGCTCCGGCCGTAGCCAATTTTTTCCACATGTCGCCAAGCACCATCACAAATATATGGAACCGTTACCAGATCCGACCGACCATGTGTCAGACCTAATGTACCCCGGATCTTCACGGGCCTCGTCACTTATGTGATACCAGGATTGACAGTCCAGACAGTGAGGAACCGTTTACGAGACGACCGTCAAGGCGTCATTGTGACTGGTCAGCACCGTCGGCTGCGACGTCAATGGTATCAAGGACACAGAGTATGGCCACAACAGCGCTGGAGACATGTTACGTTTTGTGACGAGTCAGGTTTTTGTGTTTCCGTACAGGCGGAAGAGTTCGTGTTTACTGGGGTGATTACCGAAACTGCATACAGGAAGTGGACAGGTGTGGTGGCGGTAGTGGAATTGATGTGGGCCGCCACCTCCCATACCAGCCAGGGCAATTTACCGGCACAACGTTCTACGGATGAAATTATTCGGCCACACCTGCTTCCTATTATGCAACAACCAAACGTCGCGTCGGCAACGCCCGACATCTCACGGCAAGACTAGTACTGACAACGGCCGTTTCGAGGAACCACAACATCCAAGCGCTGCCATGGCCCTCAAGGCTTCCAGATCTAAACCATAACCTAAACCAACATTTATTGGATGCTTTTGATCAACGTCTGCGATTACATCAGCAAAAGCCACAGAACCTCCAACCGTTTGCACAAGCGCTGCAGGAAGAGTGGGTGAACCATCCGTAAGTCACAAGTCGTAATGTGATTGGTTCCATGGGGCGACAATGCCAGTCAGTTTTTCACTCCCATGGGGGGCATACAAGATATTGAGAACAAAATTAATGATCTTCACTTTGACATTCGATTGTGCGAACCTATGTCAGTTACAATGATTTGTGTCAAATTTGAACAATTTATTATAATCAGTTAATTATTTATATAATGCATGAAGTGTACATTAAATAACCACTTTTGCGTTTCTATTTTTGCAGAGTATACATGGATGCCAGCGAGCTTGCTCGGCAAAATTGCTTTTATTAAAACTCATTTCTATATTCACAGCTTTCACAAATTGACAATTTTTGTTCTAAATACTAGTATATTTGAGGCGGAAATACCACAGATGGACGATAATAAGCATCACGTGACTACAATGCAAATATAATGGACTTTTATGCAAAACGTCATACAACCCAAATGGAAAAATAGTTGTTATATCCGTGCTCATATCACGTGACTGACATTACCGTTTCCCTTGATGTGGGCGTCAGCGTAGTTATCCCAGGAACCCACGAAGGCCGGATCACGTGACTTGTCCACCCAGTTCTGATTGGTGTGTTGGACAAAGAAGGACACCACGGCGTCTTTGGGATTTCTCTGAACGTTGACAACACGACACTTCCGGTTCCATATGTCTTGTGGTAGTAGGCTTTCAACGCAAGAAACACCATGGACAATGAGTGAGTTCGTGAGTTTTGGTTTTGGTTTGGTTTAACGCCGCACTAAGCAATATTCCAGCTATGTGACGGTGGTCTGTAAATGTTCCAGTCTGCACAACACAATCCAGTGATTGACATCATGAACATCGATCTTCGCATTTTGGGATACGATGACATCCATCAACCAAGACAGCCGATCCCGTTAGTCGCCTCCTGTGGGAAGCATGGGTTGCTGAAGACCATTCTAACCCGGATTATCACGGGTCGGACGGGTAAATGAGTGAGTGGGCCAAGTTCACTGACTGATTAATTGATAGCTGGTTTGGCACTAATTAGTAGTGAGTGAGTGAGTGAGTTTAGTTTTACGCCGCACTCAGCAATATACCAGCAATATGGCGGCGGTCTGAAAATAATCGAATCTGGACCAGACAATCCAGTGAGCATGAGCATCAATCTGCGCAACTGGGAACCGATGACATGTGTCAACCAAGCCAGCGAGCCTGACCACCCGATCCCGTTAGTCGCCTCTTACGACAAGCATGGGTTGCTTAAGGTTCATTCTAACCCGGACCTTCACGGGTCACAAATAAGCAAACATTTATTCATTTAATAAGTGAATAGTATACGTATGTAATCCATTAAGGCGTATAACCCCTTTAAACCGGACAATCAGCTTTTCGGACGATTACATTTCGGTCTGTATACACAGGGCCAGTCTTCAGTTTATCTAATCCCGACAATTTCACTTAAAACATATTCCTAAAGTATTAACAGTTCTCATATTGAGTGAGTGAGCAATATTCCAGCTATATGGCGGCTGTTTGTAAATAATCGAGTCTGGACCAGACAATCCAGTGATCAACAGCATGAGCATCGCTTTTTAACTTGAAGTTTCATACATTTATCCCATTAATGATAACAATCTATTTTTATAGCTCTCATGACAAACTGGTCGAGAACTCACTCTGGTGTAAGATGGGTAAATATGATTCTGGGAGAAGGAAGAGTGTCAAGGTCCTCCTCCGTCCTAGACTCGTAGAATGAAGAATTCTGCCAGTGTTTGGCATACTCTGCTTTCCCTGCCACGACCATGTTCAGTATTTCCCACACCCAATGTGTGCCTGTATGAATACAGTTAAATGTGACTCCATTAATATTATTGAATAGATAATAAATTGATTATAATATTTCATTAAAATAATCAAGTCAAAACACTGATTACACAACAGTCTCGTTTCCTGCTGACTGGGTTCCGTGCTATTGCGCAACTTAGTACAATAACCAGTCCAGAATTTTTAGACCAAATCATTCAACTGGATACATAAATATTAATCAGGATTATTTGATACATCTAAGCACTTGTATATTGCAACACTACGCTCCTTCTAATCCTTGCAAACACGACGTGCAGTGTGCTATGCCGTACAGTGTGCTCTGACAACTCAAAACGAGGCTATGCCGCTAGAAAAGTGTGGCGGTCTGGTACGGAATTGATATTATATCAATCACATTGTGCGTTACATAACTACGCTGAATAAGCGCAAAAAAACACATAACAGGTGTAACCAGTGAGCCAGATGAATTGTGAATCATTTTACGACCTCAACAAACAGGGGCAGTCTGTGACGGCTTAGTTAAGGTCATGCTGCCTACACCTCGCCATAAAATATAGAAATACAATGTTATTAAAGTTTAAAATTAAAATTAACTTGTAAATATTATTTTCTTATGAAACAAGGAATTGGAATTCAGTGTAACCATAGTTGTTTGTGGTGTCTCTTTTTACGTTCACACGAGAAAATTGTGATCAGCTGAAAAGTAGGTCATTGTCTGAATAGGTTAATGAGACTTATGTTTCGGTTTGAAGGTTTCAGTCAACAAGCCACAAGCTGTCTGTTATGAGTGGGTGAAGTTTTAGGCGGACACAGCAATATCACGGAGAACAGTTGAAATTGACAGCACAAATTGCACGCATGTGGAAAATCGAACCTGGGAGTTCGGCGTTAGGGGCGAACGCTTGAACCACTGTGTCCAGCTCAACAGAGAAACTAGTCCTCGCAAGAACAACGAGGTGTCGTGAGGTGGGAGTGAGTGATGCATGGTGAGATGACGTGAGCTGAGGTGGGTGAGAGTAGATGAGGGGGGTGGGGTGAGGTAAGCTGAGGTGAAAGTCTAGTGGGGTGAGGTGAGGGTGATGGGATGAGGTAAGCTGAGGTGAGGCGTGGTGAGATGAGGGGGTGAGGCGAGGTGAGGTTTAACGTCGCGTTCAGGAAGATTGCACCTATACAGCGACACGCATGTGCATGTGTAGGCAAGTTGCAAATAATTATTATTTGAGTAGTTTCAAACTATTTTAATGAATTATTATGTCACTGAATCAAACGGAGGCGCAGTTTCCATTGATCAGAAAGCTCACCTGACTTGGGGTACGTGCACACAAATATATCATCATCCCGGACTGTCCGCTCCTTCATGGAGGCGATGTGATGGAGGATGCCGGCGGGCATCACTAGGCCCTGCGTCATCACCAGCTGGAGACTGAACCCAGCCTGCATCCCTTCCTCTGCCCGTGTACCCATGGTTCTACAGAGAAACACAATCTAATATATACACAGCATTTGACTGAATGAAGCGAGTGTTGTTATTTTACGCCACAGTCGATGTCAACAATAATTTCCTGACGATCTTAAGTGAGTATGATTTTAACAATATTCCAGCAATATCAAGGCGGGAGACACCAGAAATGGGCTTCACATATTGTACCCATGTTGGGAATCGAACCCGGGTCTTAAAGAGCGAACGAGCGAAAGCTTTAACCACTAGGCTACCCAACCGCCCCTTGGACGATCTTAAACCCTTGTTTTGGACCCACGGATGAGACCCAAGTGTAATACCAACTTGATTCTTCATGGCGTCATAAATGCTTGACCTCAGATTAGACTAACTGATCAGGCCACCTGGCGGAATGCGTCTCCTCTATCCCCGACGACTTGGGATGTTGCTCATTATATCGACCACCGGTTTGTCAGTGATTGTTTACAGGCTGTCGTGATAAAGCTGTATTGCTGAGAAAGGCATGAAACACAACAGTGGGACCTGTACATAATCGGTGCAACTAGACAAACATGGGGTGAAAGCATGAGCATAATACACGCCATCGGAGCCTAACCATCGGATCAATATTGGTCAACTCTCACTGCAAGGGGTGGTGGGGTAGCCTTGTGGTTAAAGCGATCGCTCGTCACGCCGAAGACCCGAGTTTAATTCCCCACATGGGTACAATGTGTAAAGCCCATTTCTGGTGTCCCCGCCCTGATATTGCTGGAATATTGCTAAAAGCGGCGTAAAACTAAACTCACTCACTGCAAGCATAAGCTGCTTGGGGGTCAGTTCTAGCCGAGAATCTCAAATGGAAAGACACATATATGTTTAAGGATTGACCGATGACGTCTTAATGGCGATCAGATATGAACGTTTGTCTGTACCTCCCATCGGGAGCCTCACCGGCAACTAGGTTAAATAGTTCACCACGACACGGACTCCAGATATCCCACAGCAGGTCATCCACATACTGTTGACAGGGGCTGGAACGTATTTCATTCCAGTTGAAGGCATGGCTGATGCTGCTTATGACATGCATCGGAGTTGCATGCCCATCCGCCTCACATTAGAACTCACATACAGTAAACTATCTTTGTAACTTACAGTGGAACTCACATACAGTAAACTATGTTTGTAACGAACACGCTTATACCGAACTGACGATTACATCGAACTGTATTGTTAAACGCAGTCATAAACACTTCTTAACGCAGTCATAGCACTACGTAACGAAGTCATAAACACTTCTTAACGGAGTCATAAGCATTTCTAACGCAGTCATAGCACTACGTAACGCAGTAATAGACAGGACTTAACGCAGTCATAGCACAACGTAACGAAGTCATAAACACTTCTTAACGCAGTCATAGCACAACGTAACGAAGTCATAAACACTTCTTAACGCAGTCATAGCACTACGTAACGAAGTCATAAACACTTCTTAACGGAGTCATAAACATTTCTAACGCAGTCATAGCACTACGTAACGCAATCATAGCACTATGTCACGCAGCCATAACACTACTTAATGCTGTCATAGCACTACGTATAACGCAGTCATAACACTACTTAACGCGGTCATAACTACATAACGCAGTCATAATACTACTTAATGCAGTCATAGCACTACTTAACGCAGTCATAAACACTACTTAATGCTGTCATAACACTACTTAACGCAGTCATAAACACTTCTTAATGTTGTCATAGCACTACGTAACGCAGTCAAAACACAACTTAATACAGTCATAACACTACTTAACGCAGTCATAACACTACTTAACGCAGTCATAAACACTACTTTATGCTGTCATATCACTACTTAACGCAGTCATATCACTTCTTAATGCTGACATAGCACTACTTAACATAGTCATAACACTACTTAACGCAGTCATAACACTACTTAACGCAGTCATATACAATACTTAAAGCAGTCATAAACACTACTTAATTAATGCTGTCATAGCACTACTAAACGCAGTCATAACACTACTTAACGCAGTCATATACACTACTTAAAGCAGTCATAAACACTACTTCATTAATGCTGTCATAGCACTACTTAACGCAGTCATAAAACCTTCCTTACATATACGTAATTGAGGTCGTCGACATAGCAAACCATTTGCACCTTACTTATTCTATGTGATCATTAATAATTTTATGTATATTCTACTTAACGCAATCACAACAATCTAATTATAATTAACGAGATAAACATTCAAATTCAGGGGAGACGGGTAAGAATTGGTCTCTAGCGACTCGCAATGTTTGTCGTAAGAGGCGTCAGGCTCGCTGACATGGTTGACACATGCCACCATCTCCCATGCTCATGCTGTTGACCACTGGTCGAGACTCAATTATTTACTGACCGCCGCGACTGCAAACATTGCTGAGTGCGGCGTTAAACAACAAACAAACGAAAAACGAAAACTTGAGGAGACGTGAATTTGATAACTCACACAAGATATCATTCACTCGACAATCCGAATGTGTAAAAATAGTGTGTGTTTACAATAATAAAGAGGGTATGCCTGTTCTTTACGAGGTAAAATTGTATTTCTTGAACAGCCAACTGATAAGGTTTTCTGTACCCACTACATCTGTAACCCCAAAGCCAAGATCAGCCATATAAGGTATTGCTATTGACTGACCTAAAACAATAGGCCCGTGCCCAGCATGGCTTGTTTCTAAGATTCCGTCTCCACAATTCAACATATTTGCACAAGGGCAGATCAGCATCATGAACCACAATGGCTGCACATGAACACTTACCTTCCTTACCTTCAGCTTCACTTCTCAACTGATTTCTTTTCCTTCAACACAATTTACAAAACGAGTAATCGACGAGGAAATTGTCCACATGTCAGAACCTGATGACGCGCAGTATAAAGTTCAGAGGGTCTCGAGGGGTCAGTGTCAGGACGCTACACAAATTTTACAAGTGTGCTTTGGTTTTCTCGTGAGTGAATGAGTGAGTTTTACGCCGCTTTTAGTAATAGTCCAAAAATATCATGGCGGGGGACAGCAGAAATGGGTGTCTCACATTGTACCCATGTGGGGAATCGAACCCTTGGTCTTCGGTGTGACGAGCGAACACTTTAACCACAAGCTGTCCCATATTCACTCATTCACTTTCTGTGCGAGTGTGCGTTTGTGTGTGTGCGTGCGTGAATGTCACTCACTCACTCAGTTTACGTATATGATTATTGCAAGCAGGAGGGGAAAATACAGTAAGCTGGAACGCTTCATGGCCTTTTTGAATAGAATTTGTAAATTGAGGTACTTATTACAGAAGATGTACCTGCATTTGAACGAAGACAATCGGCAAAGGACCACCTTGATTTCTGGTGAAGTTGAAACGATGGACAATTTTCAAGACCTTGTAACAAACTTTATTCAGAAGAACAAATTTATATCTTGCATACTGAGATTCGTACATACTGAGATACGTACATACTGAGATACGTATAGTACATATTGAGATACGTACATACTTAGATACGTACATACTGAGATACGTATAGTACATATTGAGATACATACATACTAAGAGATACGTACATACTGAGATACGTCCATACTGAGATACGTATAGTACATATTGAGATACGTACATACTGAGATACGTACATACTGAGATACGTATAGAACATATTGAGATACGTACATACTGAGATACGTACATACTGAGATACGTATAGTACATATTGAGATACGTACATATTGAGATACGTACATACTGATTAACGTACATACTGAGCATTATTTATTTGTGTGTTCAATCAATTCGTCTGGAAACTTTTCACCGTTTGTGAATTGAAAAAGGATACCGACCACAGTAGGCATGTGTTATGTCAGTCAAGTGTTTGATTGTTCGTTGTTTAACGTCGCACTCCTCAAAATTCCAATCATATGGCGGTGGTCTGGAAATAATCGAGGATGGAAATTTAAAGGCCAATTATACACAAGAGAAGGGAACGGTGAATCATTGTACCAAGATGAAACGTGGGTCAATGCATCTCATCAGGCGCAACATCAATATGTTTTATCAAACTGAAAACCTCTTGAAAACAGCCTTGAGGTAAAGTTGAGAAACTCATCCCACTGAATGCGGAATGTAACAGCTCAGTTATTAAGTGACAGATTTAATGATAATCGATATTATCACATCGATTTTGTTTGTTTGTTGTTTAACACTCAGGAATACTCCAGCTGTATATTAGAGTCTTGACCAGACAATCCAGTGATCAACAATATGAGCATCAATCTACGCAAATGGGATACGGTGACATGTGTCAGTCAAGTCAGCAAGCCTGAACACCCGATCCCGTTAGTCACCTCTAAAGACAAGAATGGGCTCCTGAAGTCCAATTCTTACCCGGATCTTGCACAGAAATGAATCGTCAATTCTTTCTGGAATGCGTAGAGAAACAGCGGTTCTACCTCTGAAATCGCTGATCGTTATGGATAATGTGCACGAGACTCAGAAATTGCCAGTATCAAATTCCAGAAAGAGAGATATATACTCTTGCCAATAATGGTTGTCACCCTCCCCACCCCAACCCCATACAACCCATCACCCCTCTCCAATAAAAGAATTGAAGGGGGTGACAACCATTATTGGCATGAGTATATGTTGGCTTGAGTCGCCCTTCCCTCAAAGACTACACAGACTGTATTGTTTGACATCGTGAAGGTAACAAAACCAAACCTCTGTGTAAAGTCGACATTGTCCTAAAATCACACGAACATGGGTAATTGAGACTACTACCACGCTCCCATTGTCACCTGAACCTTTTAGAACTTGTCTGGGGCATTGTGAAAGTCGGTTGACAGTAAGCGTGAAATAGAATATAGCTCAGAATAGTTTTGAGACTATCCCTATGTTCCGCAATGCCCTCAGCTCTTGTGTTTATAGTACATACCCCTAGGTAACTACTGGCATCAATACATAAACGATAACGTAATAGTTTGTGAAAGAGTGTCTTCTCCCCTTCATGTCAGTGTCTGAAATTATGGCGATTGGTATTGGCAAATACACGACATTAATGTCCTTGAAGACGAATTGTAGCCCGACTGATTTCCCCCAGCGTATTTTGGGGCTTCAATTGAATTATACTTTATACTTTGCAGAAAACTCTGACCTGTTGCCAAAGCGTCACCCTCCACAGAATTGAATCGGTTTCTTCATGCAACACTGTTTGTCCACTGGGTAGTGATTAAACCCTAATTTGAAAGTATATATTGTGCCATTAGATCTACAATAGACATAACTCAACACAATCGTATGTATATTTACAGAAGAAAGGAAGCGTGAGTGAGTTTAGTTTTACGCCGCACTCAGCAATATTACAGCTATATGGCTGCAGTCTGTAAACATCGAGTCTGGACCAGACAATCCAGTGGTCATCATCATGAGCACAGATCTGTGCAATTGGGATACGATGACATGTGTGAACCAAGTCAGCGAGTCTGACCAACTGATCCTGTTAGTCGCCTCTTACGACAAGCATGGGTTGCTGAAGACCAATTCTAACCCGGACCTTCACGGGTTGTTTTACTGTATTATATACGACGGGCAGAGGCATGGGGCCTCGAATATCGATACACGTATGTTAAGCGGTAGCGTTAATGCCCGTTAATCCGCACTGAACTGTTCAAAGTGAACTCTTCTAGCTGTCCTAGTGAGTGAGTGAGCGAGTGAGTGAGTGAACGGGTTTAAGGTGGTGTGCATGGTTTGCTGAAGATGAATTCTAACCTGGATCTTCACGGGTCAGGAAGAAAGGAAGAAGGAACGAACGGCAACACAAGTGCAGTTCCGATAACCTCCCTGTCGCGGATATAAGGACTGCAGAACTGCCTTCTCACGCTGGATCTATTCCTTCGGCGCCACAATAGCAACTGCTACGGAAACTTTCTTTTTTGCAAATTTCTCTAAGCATCATTTTCCAGTTCCAAACAGTGCTACCCACATTTCCGATTAACTTTTAACTCTCATCCATCATCAGGGCGGTCGGGTAGCTTCGTGGTTAAAGCGTCCGCTCGTCACGCCGATTCCCCGACTTCGATTCCCCACATGGGTACAATGTGTGAATCCCATTCCTGGTGTCCCCCGCCGTGATATTGCTGGAATATTGCTAAAAGCGGCGTAAAACCAAACTCACTCACTCATCCATCATCAGTGGTACAACAAACACCAAATCTATTCTACCCATCTTTATTTTGCTTTGGTTGAAAAGGGTAATGTTTCTCGTGCATCGGTGTGCCGTCAAATTGAATGCTGATGTTATAAATTCACGCACTGATGCCTGAGAAACGTTTTCAGCCTTACCTCAGTGATGGCGCGTGCTTCTCGAAGCACGTTAATACATATACACAATAAACATATACACTACATCCGGGTTACAATGGAATTGTGAGTTGTCACTAATATATTCTTGTGCTGTATAGACCCAATATAACTACAAGTGGATACAAATGTCATGTTTCACGTGAAACATACAGGATGTGCAACGTTGTACATGGAGTGGTTTGAAATGTGATGATCTTATATTAATACTATGTACAGCAAAAACGTCAGTTTAGTGGACTCCCAGCTTCTACTGGCGCACGATTGGCCCAATTGTATAAGGTGAGCACATCACCATCCTTGGTCGCCGAGGGTTTGGTTCTACTCTGTTAACACCATACCAGAGCTCGCAATACCTGCATAATTTCGGACTTTTCTCTCACATTTAATAGGCAGACCCTGAAGTTGGAAACTGTTCTAAGCGACGTAAACCCACCTCACTCACTCACTCTGTCATCTGTAACGTTCAAATAGGTCATAATATGGGAGTACGGAACAATATCAGATGAAGCGCTCGTAAAATTAACCAGGCTACCATTATAGCAAGCTCATAATGGACACTGTCACAGTGCAACGGTATACGACCCATCAAAAGTTAGACTCGCTAGTGTAAATGTAGCCATGCATTTACTTCAGTCAACTGTGCTTAATTGGATTTTGCAAAACATTCCGTACTGTTTAAAGGTACTGTTTACACATGGACTGATGTATTGTAAAACAAATTCGTAACGTTGAAAAGACGATTGTCATGAGTTAAATAACTGATGAAACTCAGTGAAAATTGGCTAATTCTCAACAAAACTGTTCACCAAAAGGCAGTTGTTCACATGCATGATATTAGCACATGCTTTTCGGCAAATCTGATGCATGATTCTCTCGCAATTCATCTGCATAAGGTTTGCAGTTGGTTCCACAGGCCCACGTGTCTGCGAGGATTAAAGATTAAAAAATATATTGTTTTTGAGATGACCCCCCGACTTGAAATGCTCCACAGTACAATACATCATGGCGTACTATACTGTGAAGCATTTCGAGTCGGGGGTCATCACAAATTTTTACATATTTTTAAAAAAAACCTTTAATCCTCTCAAAGACACGGGGGCCTGTGGTTGGTTCCGCCAAGTTAGTGGAGAAATTCATCTTTGATGTAACTATATATACATGTATATATACATAACATATAGTGAATGCTTTAAGTGAGTCGTCACTATATGGCTGGAATAATGCCGATGTGACGTAAAGCCTAACTCAACTCAACTCAACTTTAAGTGAGTCTAAACTTTTGATTGACACTTATCTGTATAGCTGTAGTTGGTTTAGTTTGGTTGTTGTTTTACGCCGCACTTAGCAGTATCCCAGCTATATGACAGCGGTCTGTAAGTAATCGAGCCTGGACCAGAAAATCCAGTGATCAACAGCATGAGCATCGATCTACGCAATTGCGACCCGATGACATGTGTCAACCAAGTCAGCCAGTCTGACCACCCGATCCCGTTAGTCGCCTCTTACGACAAGCATGCGTTGCTGAAGACCAGTTCTAACCGGGATCTTCACGGGTTGATTTGCTGTATTATATACGACGGGCAGAGGCATGGGGCCTCGAATATCGATACACGTATGTTAAGCGGTAGCGTTAATGCCCGTTAATCCGCACTGAACTGTTCAAAGTGAACTCTTCTAGGTGCCCTTGTGAGTGAGTGAGTGAGTGAACGGGTTTAAGGTGGTGTGCATGTACTTTCTGCTTCATGGTTACAGTAGGTTAAAGATCTGGAGTGGATGAGGCGAGTTCACACAAAGGTGCGTGTGTAGTTTACAGTAACATCATCAACCGCATCAGCGCAGACAACGCCGTGCCGTCACGTTACGAATACAGAATTCACAGCCATCAGCACGTTCGTGCAGTCATCGTTCACGACTGACGGCGGAATATATCGCCTAGTGGCTAGGCTTGTGTTTGTCCCCACTCTTGTGTCGACACACCAACACCGGCGCTTGAGAATGATGGAGGATGTAGTCGCTGACGCTGCCGAGAATGGTGCGTCGGATTTTCCCATGACCTCTGGTGCCGGTTACCACAAACGTAGCATCCATTTTCTTGACCAGCTCGCAGATGGCTTGGCCTGGCTTGTGGTCATCCAGGACCATCACCTCGCCCGTCACCTGCAGAGATTTCATACAAGTGAAAACCATATGCGCGGTTAAGTAAGAATTTTGTTTATTGTTGTTTAACGCCGCCATATTGTAAACATAAACTTCGACAGCTCTGTAACAAGATTCGTTTGTTGTTTAACGCCGCACTCAGCAATATTCACATCATATGGCGGTTGACTGTAAATACAGGGGAATCACAATTACCTTCTCATGTATAGCCATTAATCTACTACATGTCTGTAAAATGGCTTTCTGTCTCTGTAAGATTAAACCACAACATGTAAAGTATAATGGAAAACCCAGAGAATAATCAGTTTTGGTGGCTCCCGAAACACACTCCTCCATCGACGTAAAAGCCCATTCAAAAGTATCTTTGTATACACAAGGTATTCGTGAAAAGGATAAACATGTTTTTTCACCTGCATCGACCACACAATTTACATGTAAAAGCAAATGGGTGTTTATAGGAACACCGTAAGCTGTACGACAGTAGTAAATTGAGTGTTGTTTGTTTGTTGTTTAACGCCGCACTCAGCAATATTCCAGCTATATGGCAGCGGTTTGTAAATAATCGAGTCTGGACCAGACAACCCACTTATCAGCATCATGAGCATCGACCAACGTAATTGGGACACGATGACATGTGTCAACCAAGTCAGCGAACCTGACCACCCGATCCCGTCAGTCGCCTCTTGACAAGCATGGATTGCTAAAGCCTAAGTTTAACCAGGATCTTCACGGGTCCTATACAGGATGAATACTTCAAATAGTTATTAATCAGATAAATAAAACTATGATAAAACAACAACGTCGTAGTCAAACTTCAGTCACTCACTCACTCGACAGACAGGTTTCGAACTGACTTACCCCATACTTGTTCATTTCTTCCAGATATTTGGCCTTCAGTTGCTCGGTTTTACCGTTCACTTCCAGGATCATCTCCTCGATCCGGGCCGGGGCTGAAATAGAAGCGATAGGGATATGGATATAGAATTATGTGATTTGCTCATGTAACAGTACCATATGGTCACGGTGTCCCAGGTTTTCATGTTGAGGTGAGGTGAAATGGTCTCATGTCTCCTTATATTCTGTTTAAAGTTTATTGTACTTAAATTTCGCATGTGCCTGCTTCTCTGTGTCTGTGTGTGCGTGTGTGCCTGCGCGTACTAGACTGGATCAATTAAGGTTTTATACAGCTTGCCCACTGAGATACATGGCGCAAGGATACCTCTCTCAGACACAGCCTTCTCGTCCTAGTTTTGTCCCCTTTATGTCGAGCAGGCAGGGCGACAACAAGTACCACCTTTTACGTGTGACGTTGCCGGGGATCCAAACACAGACCTTCCACTCTCCACTACGCCACAAAGGCGATGGAAATAAGTTGACAGTTTGGCATTTCCAAGACAAACTATTAGTCATATCACAACTACCTAAACATATTTCATTTACGGCATACTTCTCAAGTTAGCATTCATTTAAAAAATCTACCCTCCCCAAAAGAAATGCAATGGATGCTCCCTCAGCACTTGTAACACTAGTCTAGGTAGACAGGAGCCCAGTCATGCTTAGTATTTGTGGAAGCTTTATTTCTTTGGGGTGACAGCCGCTAGACATGTCGAAGGCGGTTAGGAATTAGATTTAGAGACCACTGCAGTAAATTTCATTATGGATAGGAAAGAAGAGAAGTCGAAACTCGGATGTTTCACAAGGTAACTTATCTCACAGATCGACGGCATTAATTCCAATCGGAAAGACAAACGAGTAATTTCTCGTAGTTTGTTAGTTTTTTTCAAATTATATTTCCCATAGGAAATCATTCGTCACATGGCACATGCTCTGTTGAAATTACTTCTCGTTTTGTGAGTGATTAGTCGTGCAGCAACAAAAAGCACCGATGGTGGAACATTAGCAGTGGAGTGAGTGAGTGAGTTTAGTTTTACTCCACACTCAGCAATATTCCAGCTATATAGCGGCGGTCTGTAAATAATCCAGTGATCAACAGCATGAGCATCGATCTGCACAATTGGGAACCGATGACATGTGTCAATCAAGTCAGCGAGCCTGACCACCCGATCCAGTTAGTCGCCTCTGACGACAGGCATGGGTTACTGAAGGCTCATTCTAACCCGGACCTTCACGGGTCATCAGCAGTGGAACATCAGCAGTGGAACATCAGCAGTGGAACATCCTTGGGGTGGTTTTAATTGTTTGTTGCTTATCGCTGCACTCAGGAATAATCCAGTTATATGTCTGTAAATAATCGAGTCGGGACCAGACAATCCAGTGATCAACAGCATGAGCGTCGATCTACGCAATCGGGAACTTGGGGTGGAGAGGGATGGGGGTTGGGAGATTTGGATTTGGGATTGGGTTGGGGGATAGGGATGGATTGGACCAGGTGTATTGTCAAATTATTCATAACTTTTCATAATCGGTTGGTTTTAAGTGAAATGTGATGATTAACGTGTAGTCTATCAATGAAAGGTGTATGAAACGTATAATAGGACACCTGGCAACTCAGGGTCTATTCTATACGTTTGACACAAAAGCAAGAACACGACAACTTTTTTTGTATTTTTATTTCTGTAAAGTGCCGTAAGTAAGAAATTGCTCACCCAAGTTGGATGAGAGGACTTACAAACTTCCTGGATCTTCATGTATTTGCTTCAATTAGCATGGTTGTGTTTTGGACTGCTGTTTTCGGAAACATTTCCATCTGAGTGTCATTTTGATAAGGTTTGTAATGTTTTCGTCTCAGTTTTAACGTTTAAACTCTCCTTAACCCAGCAGTTTACGTTCGTAAGTTCAGTATTTGTCAAAAGCACTTATTTATATTTTGTGTTTATGATGATGTTAGATTCCGCAGGGCTTGGCTTGGCGCCGTACATTGAAATCAAAATTGATTTCCTTGCAGAAAGAAACATATTAAAAAGGCTAACGTTCCAAGTTAAAACTTCGTATTCTTCGCGAACCTGATTTTTTAGTTCACGGTTGCTTTAATCATTTTAGACAGAATCTCATCAATATCGATAACTTTCACTGGAACGGACCTGGTTATATTGCTCCTCCAGTATTGATTATATTATGAGTGAGTGAATAAGGTTTCACGCCGCTTTTAACATTATTCCAGCAACATCACGGCGGGGGACAGCAGAAATAGGCTTCACACATTGTAACCATATGGGGAATCGAACCCGAGTCTTCGGCGTAACAAGCGAACGCTTTAACCACTAGGTTACCTCACCGCCCCGATTATCCGATTATATTATGAACAAAATGGTATGTTATGTTAGAGGGTTATTTGTGTTAAGTAAAACGGATATTGATTTAGTTCCAGTATAACAAAACTAATAATTTTGTTTCAAGGTGACCTAAGCTGTGTACACGCATTTGCGCCCTCGTACTTCCGGTTTAGATTTGATCTCCAAGAATGAGTGAGTGTGTGAGTTGGGTTTTACGCCGCTTTTAGCATTATTCCAGCAATATCACACAAGGAACCCATGCGGGGAATCAAACCCGGGACGGCGTCACGAGCGAACGCTTTAACCACTGGGCTACCCCACTGCCCCTGATCTCCAAGAATGTTTCCTGGTCTTAAGAGCCGATCAAATGTATTGGGTGGTCAAAATCGTGGACTTGGTTGATATTGACCCGTTTAGATCCGGGTTAAAATTGGTCTTCAGCAACCCATGCTTGTCGTAGGATAGGACTAACGGGGTCGGGGAGTCAGGCTCGCTGACTTGGTTGACACATGTCGTCGTATCCCAGTTGCGTTGATCTATGCTCATGCTGTTGATCACTGGATTGTGTGGTCCATACTCGATTATTTACAGACCGCCGCCATACAGCTGGAATAGTGCGGCGTTATTCAACATCACTGTGAGTAGTTTTGCTGTTCTCTGTCGCAATATTAGTATGCTATTGCCAAACACCGCACACCCCCAATATACATGGTTTGGGCCTAGGTCAAGGCCATCTCTAACTAGATGATATACGTTCTTCGTATTATAACAGCATGAACGATCTTGGTAAAAACTGTATCCACGGCCTACACTGTGAGCGGTAAAACGGGTTACCCTTCCTCCGATGCAGTTATTAAACCTGTTTACATGCGTTATTAATTCGCAAAACCAGTGGAACGGTTCCAGATTCAGAAATGTTTATTCGTCTCTGAGAATGCTCATTAGTTTTAAGCAGGATTTGTGCCTTAGGAAAACCTTGCATTATGTCACCCTGTCTGCCCGCCATCTAACCTACTGACTTCAGCGAGAAATAACGCATGAGCAGTTAGCTGGAAGCCGTCTAGCGCTCATTTAATGTAAGCTATCCCCCTAATAAGAACGCATTAGTCGGCCATGATACATGACTTGTGTTCTTGAGATACATATACATATCCCTTGAAAAATACACCAGTGTAAGAAAATAGGAGTTGGTTTGGAGTTAATGTAACCTGTACGTTCTCCGTTCTCGCTTTTTGGTTTAGAAGGTTGCAATCAAGCTGCCTTCAGTTTTCTTGGTTAAAGTTAAGGTTGTAATTTGTCTACGGAAGTAAAGTCATTCACTGTAGAAGAAGTAAAAGAAGAAGAACATGATAATGAAGATGATGATGAAGAAGAAGATGATGATGAAGATGATGAAGATGATGAAGAAGATGATGAAGATGATGAAGAAAGAAGAAGATAATGAAGAGTGGGTGAATGAGTTAGTGAATGAGTGAGTATGGTTTAACACCGCTTTTAACAATATTCCAGCAATATCACGGCGGGGACACCAGAAATGGGCTTCACACATTGTACCCATGTAAGGGAATCGAACCCGGGTCTTCGGTGTGACGAGCCAACGCTTTAACCACTAGGCTACCCAATCCGTCCAGATGACGGATTCAGATGATGAATACAATAACTACATACAGAGTTCGAGAGGGTATATTATGATTGTCGTACATACAATAACTACATACAGCGTGGTGGTAGTTCGAGAGGGTATATTATTATTGTCGTACATACAATAACTACATACAGCGTGGTGGTAGTTCGAAGGGTATATTATCATTGTCGTACATACATGACTACATGATGATGAGAGATGATCATTGTCGACATACAATAACTATGGTGGTAGTTCGAGAGGGTATATTTATCATGTCGTACATACAATAACTACATACAGCGTGGTGGTAGTTTGAGAAGGTATATTACCATTGTCGTACATACAATAACTACATGCAGCGTGGTGGTAGTTCGAGAGGGTATATTATCATTGTCGTACATACAATAACTACATACAGCGTGGTGGTAGTTCGAGAGGGTATATTATCATTGTCGTACATACAATAACTACATACAGCGTGGTGGTAGTTCGAAAGGGTATACTATCATTGTCGTATTTACTGGTCAAGACCCAATTTAATCCGTGAAAATCTGGGTTAGAATTGGTCTTCAGCAACCCATGCTTGTCGTAAGAGGAGACTAACGCCGAGTTGGTTGACACATGTCATCGTATCTCAATTGTGTATCTAGATTGATGCTCATGCTGTTGATCACTCGATTATTTACAGACCGTGAATATTGCTGAGTGCAGCGTAAAACAACTAACAAAACAAGACTCAATTTACTACTGTCGTACAGCTTTACGGTGTTACTCTATAAACACCCATTTGCTTTTACATACAAATTGTGTGAGCGGCAGCTGTTGCAGGTGAAATGGAACATGTTTATCCTTTTCACGAATACCTGGTGTATACAGAGATCCTTTTGAATGATTTTCACCACTATTTAGCTTTTTACGTCGATGGAGTGTGTTTCGGGAGCCACTCAAAACTGATTATTATCTGGGTTTGCCGTTATACATTACATGTTCTGGTTTTATCTTACAGAGACAGAAAGCCATTTACAGCCATGTAGTAGATTAATGGCTTTACATGAGAAGGTAATTGTGATTCCCTTGTAATCTTCGGTGA